GCTAAAAATTGATCCTGAGCTATTTTGGACGAGTAGCATCGCCACGATTTATTTCGCTAATCAGCCGTTGAGCACGAACCTCGCTTTCAACAAATTTGACGCGTTTCACCTGGAAAAACCTTATTTGTTGACTCATGCAAATTTCCATTGCATTATAAAAATTTTCACTGCAATTCTTTTTTTTTTTTGACCTCAAAACTGCTGCAGTATCATTTTGAATAAAAGGCCGGGATAATACATACAATGCACATGGCGCCGGCAAGTTTCCCACAATGGTAAATAGCACTGCTATTACTCGGCTTCATCAGCGGATTGCTATCAGAGGTATTTATTCTGCTTTAACTAATTCCCGAACGCCTCCAACCTCTTTTTTGAAAATTGAGGAGGGGCTTTTTGCCCTTAACAGCGCAAATGGGATCCGGGGAAAACTAAGGGGCCTTCAGGGGATGATACACTTTTCTTGTGAAACGGATAATACTTGTAAGGGATTGCAAATAATTCAGTGCAGCGCAACAAACTTGCGCTTTGCTTATGAGATATCCCGGTAATCATCCGTCATCGGCAACCTAGGTATTTTTTGCTGATGCAAAATTTAGTGGTTTATCACCAGTTAATATTCGGTGTTGTTGGCCGCAATATTACTGAGATGCAACCACACGCTGGTAAAACCCATGCCAATTTCTAACTTCTCTTGAGCTTTTTTTCTGCCACATTTACTATCTGCCAATTCCACTACGTGATCACAGTGTACATCCCCGTAGCTTGAACTCTTATAGTCGCTGCTGAATGCTTGTTTTTCTCGCAAATACCGCTCTTTTTTCTGGATTTGTGATATGTATCAATTATTAATAAGGCCAAAAACATGCAACGCCGCCCCGTGGGTTGTTTTTTCCATTTCATAACCATAAGTTAAAAAAAAAATCGCTAGAAAAGAAAATCCGGAAAAATCTGCTTATGAAAGGCCTTTTTCAGCTGTTTTAACAGAATTGAGAAAAACCGGCCTACCTCTAACTGCTCTTTCAGCTTTTCTTTCATTTTGCGGTATTCCTCTTCATAATGCGTCAAAACTTTATACAAATGTCCATCCATATCACGCTCAGGATTGCCGGATGGTCGCCATCCTGTAACAATCAAAATTCAGTGGCATAAGTACTCTCTGAAATTTTTTTTATGCGTTTTGTGCTGTGTAACAGCGTTACAAAACGCATATTGTCACGAGGTTGTCTGTGTG